GTGCCCAACTTGGGGGTCAGTCCGTGCCCCACTTGGGGGTCACTCCGTGCCCAACTTGGGGGTCAGTCCGTGCCCCATTTGGGGGTCAGTCTGTGCCCCATTTGGGGTCTCTCCGTGTCCTACTTGTGGGTCAATCCACGCCCCACTTTGGGGTCTTCGGGGTCGCTCCGTGTCCCACTTGTAGGTCCCAACACGTCGCACTTGGGGGTCGCTCCGAGCCCCACTTGTGGGTCCGTGCCCCACTGAGGGATCCGTGCCCAACTCAGGGGTCAGTCCGTGCCCCACTTAGGGGTCTGTGCCCCACTTAGGGGTCAGTCCGTGCCCCACACGTGGGTCAGCCCCACTGGGGGGTCAGTCCATGCCACACTTACGGTTCCGTACCCCACTTGGGGGTCAGTCCTCCACTTAGGGGTCAGTCCGTGCCCCCTTTGTGGGTCTGTGCCCCACTTAGGGCTCAGTCCATGCCCCACTCAGGGCTCAGTCCGTGCCCCACTGGTGGGTCTGTGCCCCACTGAGGGGTCTGTGCCCCACCCGTGGGTCCGTGCCCCCCTCGGGGTCCCCGTGGGGCCGCCAGGCCGTGGGGTCACTGTGGGGCTCTGTGGGGCTCCGAGGGTCCCCGGGGGTCTCCGTGGGGGTCTGTGGGTCCCCGGGGGTCTCCGTGGGGGTCAGTGGGGTGCCGTGGGTCCCCCTGGGGATCCGTGGGGCGCTGTGGGTCTCCCTGGGGGTCTCTGGGGCTCTGTGGGTCACCGTGGGGGTCTCTGGGGTGCTGGGGGTCACCGTGGGGGTCGGTGGGTCCCCATGGGCCCCCGTGGGGGTCGGTGGGGTGCCGTGGGTCTCCCTGGGGGTCGGTGAGGCGCTGTGGGTCTCCGTGGGTGTCCGTGGGGCGCTGTGGGTCCCCGTGGGGGTCTCTGGGGTGCTGTGGGTCACCATGGGGGTTTCTGGGTCGCCGTGGGTCTCCCTGGGGGTCGGTGGGGTGCCGTGGGTCTCCGTGGGTCTCCATGGGGCGCTGTGGGTCCCCGTGGGTCTCCATGGGGTGCCGTGGGTCTCCCTGGGTCTCCGTGGGTCGCCGTGGGTCCCCGTGGGTGCCGGTGGGTCGCCATGGGTCGCCGTGGGTGTCGGTGGGGCTCTGTGGGTCCCCGTGGGTCTCCATGGGGCGCTGTGGGTCACCCTGGGTCTCTGTGGGTTGCCGTGGGTCGCCGTGGGTGCCCGTGGGGCGCTGTGGGTCTCCCTGGGGGTCCGTGGGGCTCCGTGGGTCCCCGTGGGTGTCCATGGGTCCCCGTGGGTCGCCGTGGGTGCCCATGGGGCTCTGTGGGTCTCCCTGGGTCCCGGTGGGTCGCCGTGGGTCCCCGTGGGTGTCCGTGGGTCCCCGTAGGTCCCTGTGGGTGCCTGTGGGGCTCTGTGGGTCGCCGTGGGTCCCGGTGGGTCGCCGTGGGTCCCCGTGGGTGTCCATGGGTCGCCGTGGGTCTCCGTGGGTGTCCATGGGTCCCTGTGGGTCCCCGTGGGTCCCGGCGGGGCTCTGTGGGTCTCCCTGGGTCCCGGTGGGTCGCCGTGGGTGTCCGTGGGTGTCCGTGGGTCCCCATAGGTCCCCGTGGGTGCCTGTGGGGCTCTGTGGGTCGCCGTGGGTCCCGGTGGGTCCCCATGGGTCCCCGTGGGTCCCCGTGGGTCTCCCTGGGTCGCCGTGGGTGTCGGTGGGGCTCTGTGGGTCTCCGTGGGTCCCGGTGGGTCCCTGTGGGTCCCCGTGGGTGCCCGTGGGTCCCCGTGGGTCTCCCTGGGTCCCCGTGGGGCTCTGTGTGTCCCCGTGGGTCCCCGTGGGTCGCAGCTCGTGGCTCAGGGCGTCGAAGGCGCACAGCATGGCGGCGCGGACGCGCTCGGTCAGCGCGGGGACGTCGGCCGGGCCCAGGCCCCGCGTGGGCAGCGGGGGCAGAACCTCGATCACGCACCGACCTGGGGCAGGAGGAGACCCACGGCTCACCCACGGCTCACCCACGGCCTGCCCGGGACCCTATGGCTGACCCACAGCTGACCCACGGCTGACCCACAGCTGACCCACAGCTGACCCACGGCTCACCCACAGCTGACCCACGGCTGACCCACGGCTGACCCACGGCTGACCCACGGCTGACCCACAGCTCACCCACGGCTGACCCACGGCCTGCCCGGGACCCTATGGCTGACCCACGGCTGACCCACAGCTGACCCACGGCTCACCCACGGCACACCCGGGACCCTATGGCTGACCTACGGCTCACCCACGGCTGACCCACGGTTCACCCACGGCTGACCCACAGCTGACCCACAGCTGACCCACGGCTGACCCACGGCTGACCCACAGCTGACTCACAGCTGACCCACGGCTCACCCACGGTTGACCCGGGACCCTATGGCTGACCCACGGCTCACCCACAGCTGACTCACGGCTGACCCACGGTTCACCCACGGCTCACCCACGGCTGACCCACAGCTCACCCACAGCTCACCCACAGCTGACCCACGGCTGACCCATGGCTGACCCACGGCTCACCCACAGCTGACCCACGGCTGACCCACGGCTGAACCACAGCTGACCCATGGCTGACCCACAGCTGACCCACGGCTGACCCACGGCTCACCCACAGCTGACCCACGGCTGACCCACGGCTGACCCACGGCTCACCCACCGCTGACCCACGGCTCACCCGGGACCCTATGGCTGACCCACGGCTGACCCACGGTTCACTCACGGCTGACCCACGGCTGACCCACGGTTGACCCACAGCTGACCCATGGCTGACCCATGGCTGACCCACGGCTGACCCACAGCTGACCCACGGCCTGCTTGGGACCCCACAGCCCACTCGGGACCCCACGGCTGACCCACGGCTCACCCACGGCCTGCCCGGGACCCCACGGCTGACCCACGGCTCACCCACAGCTGACCCACAGCTCACCCATGGCTGACCCACGGCTGACCCACGGCTGACCCACAGCTCACCCACAGCCTGCCCGGGACCCTACGGCTGACCCACGGCTCACCCACAGCTCACCCACAGCTGACCCACGGCTGACCCACGGCTGACTCACAGCTGACCCACGGCTGACCCACGGCTCACCCACGGCTGACCCACAGCTGACCCACGGCCCACCCGGGACCCCACGGCTGCCCCACAACCCACCTGGGACCCCACGGCTGACCCACAGCTGACCCACGGCCCACCCGGGCCCACCCACAACTCACAGCCCCCCTGGCACCCCATGGCTGCCCCACAGCCCGCCCGGGACCACCCACAACCCCCCTGGGACCACCCACAACCCACCCAGGACCCACGGCTGCCCCACAGCCCCCCTGGCACCCCATGGCTGCCCCACAGCCCACCTGGGACCACCCACAACTCACAGCCCACCCGGGACCCCACGGCCCACCCGGGACCCCCCTGACAGGTAACACTGCCCCACAGCCCACCCAGGACCCCACACCTGCCCCACAGCCCACCCAGGACCCACGGCTGCCCCCCAACCCATCTGGGACCTGTGGCTGCCCCACAGCCCACTCAGCACCCACGGCTGCCCCACAGCCCGCCCAGAACCACCCCCAGCCCACCCAGGACCCCACACCTGCCCCACAGCCCACCTGGGACCACCCCAACCCTACAACCCACCTGGCACCCCACGGCTGCCCCACAACTCACCCAGGACCACCCACAACCCACCTGGGACCCATGGCTGCCCCACAGCCCCCCTGGCACCCCACGGCTGCCCCATAACTCACCCGGGACCCCACGGCTGACCCACAACCCACCCGGGACCACCCACAACCCCCCTGGCACCCCACGGCTGCCCCATAACTCACCCGGGACCCCACGGCTGACCCACAACCCACCCGGGACCACCCACAACCCCCCTGGCACCCCACGGCTGCCCCATAACTCACCCGGGA